TCTCCAGCATTACCATCACTGCTGGGTATATGTGCCTACAGGAAGCAGATTCTGTACTTTGCCAATACTGACATTTTAACCTAAGAACAACTTATCCGATAGCCACACATTTGCTACTACTCTCTTCCATTTCTGATCCAAGGCCCGTGCCATATTGCAGCCTTTACTTCCTGTTTATTACAGTCATGCGTTGCGACGTAATGTGGACGACGACCAAGGATAAATTTGCAGCGCTTGGTTAATTCACTTCAAACCAAATGAAAACACAGCAAACTTGCATTTCCTTTTTTTCAAACTTTTAAAAGTTTGCTTAAAATTTGGATTTCACTTGAATGGAAACACAGCTACTTAATGAAATAAGTGAACTAAAGTCTGTTGTAGCTAAAGGATTTTAGATGGTTCTTTGTTCTCAGTTCTTTGTGCTTGACAGATGAGTGGTTCAGCCACTCACATCAATTAAAACATTAAAGCTGACTGTAACTTCACTTTAGTAGGTGGAGAACATAAAAAGTTAACCCTGTTTCATATATAAAGGAGCATTCATTTCCCATGCTGCAGCTTACTTATTTACCTTCAGTTCCAACAGCTCTAAGTGGATGCACGTCATGCTTGTAGACAAACTTCTCCTCCAGCACCATCTGAACCGAAACGATGATCTGAGCCATAATGATCAGGAGATCACCTGCAGACAAGAAGGTAATCTGCATCTTTATTTTGCAAATAATTAAAGACTTTAACTTAATGTACGGAGTGATTTATTCTTTCTTAGAAAATATAAAAACATTATACCGGTGATGACATCACTGAGCTTATGGGAGTCATCTTTGTGACCACTGACGAGATCGGCGAGTCCCACAACCACCAGGCCGAGGATGGTGATGAAGATTCCAAGCCACTGACTGGGTTGGAGCCGACGACCCAAAAAGGCCACAGACAGGAGACCGGTGAAGATGATGACGGCGCCGCGAAGCATCTGGAAGCTGGAGGCGCTCGTCATGTTGAGAGCTGCAAACCAAATCCAGGAGTTTAACTAATGTAAACAGACTTCAAAACTTTATGATTGACAAAAAACAATGAAAGAAAATATTTTTAACAAATTTTATTTAGGATTCTTAATCCCTGATTCAATATGGCGAAGAGATGCACATTTTCTTGACTACAGAAGCATAACAAACCATACTAACCCCACAGGTCTTGAGCTGAACTTACCAACATACATGATAGAGGTAGCTGTCATGTCACACATTGCAGGAGGGAAGAAAAGCAGAGGGTTGAAACTTTGCCCTGGGTTCATTCTTGGTTCTGGGCTCCGCCTGTCATGGCAAAGCAAGATGTAGAAAACTGCAAGACAGCTGAACTCGCCGAGAAACATTCCCACTGCCTGGAAAGAGACAAAGACATGAGCAAATTAACTCTACACATTAAGCACAACTAAAGGAATCGATAGCTGTAGCCCCAGTTTAGCCCGAGAGTCGATACTGATCCTTAAGAAATGCCTTACAGAAATAAATACCATATTGCCCAGAATATAAGACAAGGTTTTTTTTTTTGTAAAAAATGATGTGAAAATGTCGTGTCATCTTATATTTGGGGTCTAATCAATTATACGTACAGAGTGACAGTTGTCCGGAGTCGCCACACGAATAAAACAGCAGAGGGCGCCAGTTTTTCTGTAAAGCCATTGACCTCACTGTGGCTAGGTTTATTTTGTTAATCAACAGAGCAGTGACAAGGACGCTGCCCAGAATTTAGTGGATCAAAAGTCTGACCAGTTTGCAAACATTTGAGGCAGAGTTAAAATAATTTTATAATAATGGTCAATACAGCGGGGGCATCAAACAACTCTCAGGCAGCAAAGAAATACGGCGTTACTGAGTGCAATGTCAGAAGACGGCACTTTAAAAAAGACCAGTACAATTTGAACAGCAAAAGAAAAGCTAATCAAAAAATTGCAGAGCTGCAGGTTGAGAGTATGAGTGACAGTGAGGCGGAGGACGCCTGTGAGTAAAAGCCTCATGCAGGTTTTTGTGACGTTTATGAGCAAAGTTCAGATTACATTCGAGTTGAAATGTTGGAAGATTTCAATTAACTGTGTCATTACTGTGTTTTTCTTTTTACTTTTTATGGTTTAATTGCACAAACCCTTCAATGCAATATAATTTAAATGAAATTGTTAGCACTTCAATATAAAAGGTTATTTAAATAGTCTTTGTTTTGCGTCTAAAACATGGTCCTGGAAAGAGGGGGTCGTATTATATTCAGGTCAGTGTGGTAAGAAATAGATGGTGTTATTTCTGCTGCATCTAAATTTCCTTATCCTTAAAATTGATTTAAAGAGGCAAATGTTTGATTTCATGAAAAAATATAACTATCTTATATAAATTACAAGTTTCATTGCTTTATATTTTTATATGCAATAAAATGCTTTCACTCAAAGTGCATTAAGGTACCTGTACAAATGGATGGGAGAAGGAGTGTTCAGCATCACCATGGCAACCCTTTGCTGAGAACATATCAGCCCATCTGTCAGAAAAAAAAACATCATGCACACTTACTTATTGATATCATTTATAAACAAACAAAAAAATTTTCGGTGTTGTTATTTTTGTGTGTTTTTTTGTCGCTTTTATAAAAAAAAATTGTCAGGAAATTATTTCCTTAATTTGCATGAATGTCAGTATGAAAGAAGCAGGTCAGACACAATGCAAAGTCAGGCAGACGGGGTGATGACGTTGCATTTTACTTGTGTGTTTAATGAGTGCTTATGTATGCAGAAATCCTTTGGCTGGTCGGAGGAAGCATGACTGACATGTGAGGCGCCTGTCCTCACACATCAGTCACGATCCAAATGCTTCCTTGAAATCTTTTAAACTCTTGAGCTCATTAGTTCATTGTGGAAACAGCAGAACTCCAACACTCAGTTTAAATCTACTGCAATCGTCCTTTTTATTGTGGCCCTTTAGTTTAAAATGTCTTTAGTCAGCACATAAAACAAAACGCAAGCAGCGGCTCTCTACTGCTGGGAGCAGGTTAGCTATCATGTGACTGTTGTGAAACTTTACCTGTAAGTAGCAGAAATCCTCTAAGTGCAACATGACAGAGCAGGTTTTCTCTGAGACGTTAGAGCTAAACTGACTGTGATTCAGAGGAGAAACACGAGGACGGGGAAGTAGATGACAGGAGGGATAACGCTGACATCCAAAAATATTGGAGAAGTTAAAAGGGTGAAAACTTGAGTTTCAATTATGTGGAAATTATCTAACATTTATAAACAGAAGTGTAGACTGTCGCTACTTTACTAATAGGAGCTGTTTTATTACACTTAAAGAATATGAGTATCCAAGGCTGCTTTTTAAGGATGTGTCTGTCACATCTGACATTTACAGACGGACAATCGCTTCGGTCAGGGTTCCTTCTTTGTTTTGTTTTTTTATACTTCTTGTAATGATCACGACACATTTCAGTTCTGCTTCTGAAGCACTTAAAGCTACAAGTTTACCAAGATTTTCTTTTACTTTTTCTGCTAAAGTAGCTGAAATACTTTTCTCACAACAGATCAAATGACTGTAAACTCAATGTTGCAACTCAACAAGGAATTGCAAGTAGATGGATTTGAGATGATGGGCTTATTTTATAGCCTGAATAAAATGGAAGTAATCTTTTCCTTAAAATTAAAATGCAAATGCAGTCAGTTCAACATGTTGTTCAAAAGGCATGCTGACTAAGAATTTTGGAGGATGCTAAATATTAGCTTTTTAGAATAGTTAAACTAATGTAATTTTAGTTTGTGACTGTATTTCTTATGTTTTAACTGAAACAGCAACAACTACATATTTAAACAGAAAAAGTTTGATTTTTGTCCTTGAAAGAACAGTTAATATGTTTATATAGCTTGATTATGAATGGATTTATTAATCTAGTCAAAGTTACAAACTGGCAAACATTGGTGATTGATAAGTGTCTGTCTTGGAGCAAAGATTTTAAGTGTTGCAACAGCACTGATGCTGAGATCAAAACTGCTAACACGCCAAGATTTTTAACTATATGCAATAAATGTCAATGCACTTAGCTGAACAAAACGTAGCTGTGATAGGGAAAAGATAAAAATGTCACCTTGTTTAAACAGATTTCCAAATTGAAAACTATTTTAAATAACTACAGGTTATTTTAACAGGGTGAAACTGTTAAATGTTATTTATGATTTTTTCTGTTTGTGTTACAGTCTTGGTTTTTACTTTGCTCCATGTTTTCTAGTTTTATTGGTTTAATTCTTATTTTGTTGTGTTTTCTTGTTATTTTTCAGTTTTCAGGTTTTTATTTGTTGCTCTCTGCTGCCCTCTTGTGTTCTCCTTTTTCCCTAGCTCCTTTCCAGTCTGCTCTGTTCACACCTGCTCCCAATCTACTCGTTAGTCCTCTCTTTGTTCAGTCTCCCATAAATACACTCCTTGTACAGTTCCTCAGTGCTGGTTTCTTGTCTAACTTCATCCTACACCGTCTTGCAGTGTCTTACCTCGTCATGATTGTTTTCCCCTGATGTCTCCATGGTTTCTGGTTTGTTTAACTTTTTTCTTGTTGAATTTTTTGGATTACTGCTCATTAAATCTACAAAAAACTCACCTCTGCCTCCCTGCCTCCGCATTTGGGTCCTCACACCTCAACCAAACCTTGACAGTTTGTGCTTTTAGTATCTGATTATATCATCACAAGTTATCGATTTTTGGTTATTTCGGGGCTTTAACTATGGTGCTCTTGTTTCTTTAATGATTTTGTAAATAGATTCCTTCCTTATTAAATTAAATCAGCACTTTTTTTCTGGTACCTACTTGATTTCAAAGGTACTTTTTCACAGCATTAAACAGGATAATTTTAATTGTGGAAGTTTAAATGCTAACAGCTTCTAAATGTTGTGACCTCAAAGCTTGTTAGATAAAAACGCAAAGGTTGGAATCTAATAATGTAAATAATTAGTTAACTAATTTGAGTAAAAATGTAAATTCTTTACTGTAAGGCTTACATCATTTCTACTCTGACATTCCTTTTTTTATATTTTCAAGCCCATCTCCCACAGACTGCAACTCTGGTTCCCTGAGCAAAGACCTTTAACCCCACACTGCTCCCTGGGCGCCGCACAATGGCAGCCCCTTGTCATAGTGTAATGACAATAAAAAAAGTATATTTCATCCAAAGTTTAACAGTTTGTTCTTGGAATCAATCAGGAGTTCTGCTTGATTCTTTATGACCAAATGTTCCTATGTCATGTGAATAGATGGTAAAACAAGCTATTATACATCAGTAGATCAGCTCAGTCCTGGTTTATTTGACCTCTGATCTAATTATAAACAGAAAAAAGGACATTAGCAGGAATATCTTAGTTGATATTCACAGACTAAAGATGCCGTTTTCACAAACGTTATAATAACAAATCATCTACACCATTGTTTGGCCACAGAGCATCCCAAATAAATAACCTATTGCGCTATATTGTGTAGTTACTTTTCAGCTAACGTTGCTAGCAACATCTCTGCCGTTAGAAACTGTAAGAAATGCGTAATAACGACTATGGCGAACATGAAATGTAAGAAAATTAGCTCTAAACACTTTCTTTGTTTAAACCCATGCCACTTCCATGATGCTGTTAAAAGCTAACAAAACATTATGGGCTTTAAAAGAAACGCATATATACATCGACTCACTTTGCGGATAAAGTGTTGATGGAGCCAGTTGTCAGCATCAGCCCAGCCAGGAACAGCTGATATTTTGTCCACGCCATGATGGACGAGTGAAACAAACCGCTAAGACTTCGCCAGCTGTGTACTCTCTATGGAAGCCGTGGTTGTTTATTCATTCGCTTTCCGCATACTCTCCATTTCGTGTCTATGATCACCACATGACAGCTCATGGTCAGCTGACCTAGCGGCGTGCTGCTTTCAGGGACCATCAGTAAACGCCAGACAGTTGATCCGCTAATAATGTGAACCGTGTTTCGTTTACAGCAGGTGTCTTCAAAGTTTTCCAGGCTAAGAACCCCCAAACTGATAGCGAGATGGAGCAGGGACCTCTTAATAATATATATTGTATGAAATTGTGTTATGCTCCTATAATCACTCTATTACAGATTAAGTCATGAAACAAAATAATTTCGCCCTGGGATTATTAAAGTATTTCTGATTCCTCGTTGATGCAATGGCGTAGCTATCGTAATGCAGAAATTGAAGTTTCTTTGGGGCCACCGAGCTCTTACGGAGCATCTGATTGCCCCCCCTATATAGCTGTAGTTTAGGACGAAACTTTCTAGATGCAAGTGACCGGACCTTATTTATACCCCAACACATGCCAGATTTCACTATGATGGTGAGCCTTTAAACACGACAAAGCAGACAGTGGCACTTTTAACTACTATGTTAATAACTGTGTTTAGTTCATTAGACGGTTGGTTAAAAAAAGATACGCTCATATAATGCTTCAAAAAGCAATACAGATCTTAAAAGAACGACGTATTTGAGTATTTAATTTTTCTGGGTAATCCAGAGATGTTGTACTTCATATGAAGCCCACCCAAATAATGTTGCTTATTGTTGTGTCGTTACGCCATTGCTTTGATGGGACAGGTGTTGTGAATGAAACGGTGCCCAGCTTGAAAGAGCTCCTGTGTGTCACTGAATATGTGTATTGATTACAGAAAAAGACATCTTCTGCCTCCATTTATCTGTTTACTACAGTGTGTTGAATTCATAATGTGTATTTAAAGACATTTCAATCAGTGGAAAAAANATTGATGACAGAAAAAGACATCTTCTGCCTCCATTTATCTGTTTACTACAGTGTGTTGAATTCATAATGTGTATTTAAAGACATTTCAATCAGTGGAAAAAATTGCGGGGTGAATATATGTAAAAAAAAAAGTCTAATCAGGCAAAACTTGCGATGCAGTACCTCCACGGACCCCCAGTTGAAAACCTCTGGTTTAGGGTGAACTGAATCACTAGAATCAGACTCAGTACATGAAAATTATTGGTTTATGAGTGATCAAGTTATACAGCTACACTTTGGTTTTACATGTAAAATGGAAAATAAACATAGCTACATTTAGTGTGCTATTTACAAAGCTAACCATGCCTTTTCTGTTCCTTTATATTTAAAATGGCAAAAAAAAGCATGGTTTATATTTTAAGTGCCGATCATAAATTCAACAGTCTTTTATGTTGCTTAACAGTTAAAATAAGTAATAAAGATAAGATTAAAACAAAGATCTAACAAACATTTCAGGTTTTCACATTATTTTATTGACAACCAAAAATCAGTTGATAAGCATTTCCCTGAAATTAGTTTTTGGAACTTGGGATGTCTGTAACATTCAGTCACTATTTTTCCTGTGCGATGTGTGATCATATACCACAGAGAATTGCATAATTGTTTCTTCTTGGCCGATTTATCAAACTGTCGCCGTATCCTGAACCTTTAACCTTTATCACGTGTGGTACTTCATATGGGGCCCACCCAGATATTGTTGCTTACGGGCCTATTGTTGTGTCGTTACGCCATTGGTTGGCTCAGATGAAAAAAGGAAAATAAGCATGACTCTGATGACTTTTGAATTGAAAAAACAAAAAGATCTTTGATCTTTAAAGAATATTAACATCCAGAGTACATCTAGAAAATGTATTACACAATCATTCTTATCTATTTTAGACCACATCCTTCCAACCTCAACTAATTTTTTTTTTATGTACACCCTGGCTTTGTGGCAGGGGGATATCACCTTGGCTGACTGGTTAGTGCACAAGAGTTCAGCACAAGAGGACTGTTCTGACTGAATGATCACTTTTACCTCTCAACTCATGAGGAAAACCTCCCTGCTGTCTGGCCAAATCCCTAAGTACGTTTGCCAATCAACATTTAGCAGCCATCCTAATGACCCGCCCCTAAGAGATTGAGCCTCACTGGAAGGGATGTATTTTACCATTGCAGGAGAAGTATCCAAGTCCTCTGACAAGGATGCTAAGAAGGACTGGTACACAGTCCTTCCTCCCAACAAAGTGATATTCCACGTCCCCAGAGCCAGTTTAAGCATCTGTCGATCAGGTCACCAAGGCCTCTGCCTCTGAATGCTGGCCAGGCCTTTTAGCACCAATTGTTCATGATGCCCCCTGCTGATGGCGGGCCCACCAGTCTTAAAATCCTCTGAAGTGCATAAAGGTAACCTGATTATTATGCAATTCAAACAAATAAACATTATGTATTTGAAATAAATAAGCGCATTAGTATTATTTTTAATCAAGTATGCATTATTAATTAAAAATACATAAACCTTAAAATAATAATCTAGTCTTGTGCCAAATAATAATTTTGACATTGGTAACCAATTTCCATGCTTTCTGTTAACCATATCCATTGGGCTGGGAAGAGGAAGGTTTTTGTCCTGCAGTTGACTTTGCTCTTCAACACCTCCCCCTAAGATAGTAAAACAATACACTCCTATAGACGTGGGCCTTTGTCCCACATGGAACATTGAGGATAACTGTCTCAGGCCGTTCTCTTTCTTTTTGGGAACTGCTCTCTGGCCAGTTCACATCAGAGAGGAAACTATAGTGCCCCCCTTGCCCAGGGGCCAGAACTCCAGACCTACCAAAGGCAAAGGTGAACCTGATAGCTGACATCAGAACCGAATTGCTGCAAAACAGACCTTTTGCAACATTCTTCTCTGTGATTCAGGATTTACAGATGCCTGGGAGAGGCTGAATATGTGAAGGTCCGTAGAACAAAATAACTGCCCTGCTGTAAGCCTGCTATAAGCTGCTAAATACTGGATACTGTAAAGCCTTCCAAATGGAGATCATTAGAGGTTTACAGGACTCGCACACAAGTCAGGAAGAGTTTCTTGCGAAATAATTTGATTCTTTGATGATTTTTGATAATTTTATATGTTTACTGTTGGCAAAGGTCATGCTTACTGGATGGACCTCATTTTACACCATCCTGACATGTTGTGAGCTGTTGTTTATAAAGCCAGAACAAGCTTTGATTCACTAAGAGTTTAATCACTAATAAAAAGTTAAGGTTAAGGTGTTTTTTAATCATATGCTGATCACATTTTATTACCAAATTATGACCAAAAGTCATTTCATGTGAGTCCATATGTTTGCTAGCTACTAGCTCAATCAAATAAGGTTAGGAATCAATTTAATAAAAATTAAATAAAGTTATTAATTTAAGCAAATCCTTTAATAAAACATTATTTCCCAAATAGACTGGTGACCTGTCAAGGGCCCTGCCTTTTGGCCATAGACTGTTGGAGATAGGCACCTGCACCTGACCCTGATGGATTAAATGGGAGACGATGGATGGATGGATGGATGGATGGATGGATGGATGGATGGATGGATGGATGGATGGATGGATGGATGGATGGATGGATGGATG